ACAGGAAAAAACAATAATTGGTCAAATTTGCAGTACTTGGAAAAAAATAACCAAACTAAGGGGGTCGCCGTGCATACGCAAGTAATTTGGAGTATAGAACGAAGTGAACTTCTGCATACTGCACAGAAAAAATTAAACAGGACAAAAGTATCTGTGTGCTTGTCCACCGAGGAAGGATCTTATGCTGACCCAGAGCTCGCTTGTATCCTCATCTAACTCCCTAAGGATGGAGGTGGCTCTTTCCATGCTTAAGAGAAAAGGAATTCCTCCAGCCGTCTATCTCTGGAGAAGCAGGAGGGTTTCCTCACCTTCCAAATCATTAAAATCATACGCTTTGTTACAAGGCACGCAAAAGGGCAACCACTCTTTGGTGTTTATTGCTTTGGATATTCTCAGCACGGGCCCCGAGCAGGCATGTTATAGGGGAAAGCTGAAGGTCAACTTTGAGGATCCCTGACAGGAAATGTGCCACCTCTCTCCATAGGGACTCAATGACTGGGCAGTGCCATAGCATATGGAGGAGCGTTCCCTCTTCTCCACATCCATGCCAACATTGAGCCGATAGGCTCTGGTCCATCTTTTTAGTCTGACCGGAGTTAGGTATGCCCTATGCATTATCTTCATCTGTATTACTCTATATCTTATGCATTTGCTCATATTAATTGAGTTCCTCCACAAGCTATCCCATTCAGAAGATGACAAATTAATTCCCAGATCTTGCTGCCACTGCAATTGAGTCGAGGTATTGCAATTGGGGAGGAAAGGCATAAAAGCCTATAAAGTTTGGATACCACTCCTCTCCCATGGGCGATAGCCTCCAACTTCTCATCCAACTCCTTATGGCAATCGATGGCACTGCCTGGCATTGATAATCTGTTTAAATTGGCTTTTAAGTTGTAGGTATGTTAAAAAGAGCTGCTACTCAGTCCAAAATTTGCCTTGAGCGCAGTAAGTGGAAGCATTGAACCATCCCTCAGCACTTGGCTGAGCATATGTATATTCAGACTCTGCCATGCTTTATCAGATAATGGGTTCCCACCTGTTGATAATAAGGGATTGTTCCATAGGGGACACGAGGGGAGGGAAATTCCACTGGTGCCTAAATTACTATGTATCTTTTTCACAAAGTCGCATGTAAATTTAATGATTGGATTCTCTAATTTAGATGGAAATTTGGGGCAATACCATAGTGAAGGTAAAGAAATGGACCTGTTGTTTTCCATAATTAATTCCCTCTCAAGCCAATCCCAAGTACCTCTGGTTGAGATATCATTGTAGCCCCAAGAGAGTGGAAGTCTCGCATTGTATGACAGATAATACAGAAATACATCTGGGACACCTAACCCACCTTGGGATCTCAATTTGGAGAGCTACAAAATTCCCTTTTAGTGTTACTGTTCTTCCACTGCAGCTCTGCACCAAACACTGTCGGAGAAAACAGAGAGGGAATTTTGTATGGCAGTTGACAAACAAAGTTACGATGAAAAACACACAAGTGGAAAGCCAGACCAACACGGACCATCAATTATAGTATGAATCAATCTGCATGCATGAGACCGGTAGCAGTGAGCCTGCAGCTGCCTGTGGACACAGAACGCGGAACATATGTCTGATCTTTTAGTGTGCAGGACTGAAATATTTCAGGTTATTTTCCAGTTCCTCTGGACCTGTTTGAGGTGCTCACTATTACAGTTTTTTCCAATTTTCCACAATTTTGTATGTGTATGTGATTTTATGTCAGATTGTTGTGTCTCTTGCACAGAACCGTGTTCAGTGCATTTAAAAAGTGCCATTTTGAATTGCAAAATGTGTGTATAGCAGAAAATGTGTTTAGAGTTTTGGAGACTTCTGAAGAGGTTTTGCTCTCTGTGTGTCAGTTTAAATAATTGTGCTATGCATGTCATTTTAGTGAGTTAGCAATTGGAAAAAACTGTAGTGAAGCTGAGAGCATTGAAGCCCTTTTGTTAAGTTATTTGAAGAGAAAAAAAACTCACAGGGATCCACTTAGGATCAGCATTAAATGACTAGGTGTAATTAATAATAGTCATAATAATAACGTCCTGCTGTGCAGCTAAATAAAAGGGAGCTTCAGATCTAACTTCATTGTGACTGCTACAGGATTACAGGATAAATCAAGACTCTGGAATTAATTAAAAGTCAGATTTTTACTGGTATGTTGACAAATCCAAATAATATAAATATAAGTTTTGCCTTTGGATAGGATCTTTAATTTATGAAAAGTATCCATTTAAAGTGAAGAAATACGAGAGAGAGAGACGGTGAAAGGATCTCTGTGTGTGTGTGTGTGTGTGTGTGTGTGTGTGTAGTTGACATATACAGCTGTGTGTGGTTATTCAAAACCATACACAGCTCTGTCTGTGTTGACACAGAACAATGAGCTGCTGCTGTTCAGTCAGTGTGTAAAGGTCACAGAGATCAGTGCTGTGTGGGTATCTGTCCACATTATTGTTCCCAAATGACTCCAGCAGATCGTTCAGTCATCTCACTGATCTGAAGTCAGTCTGTGAGTTTTTATTAAAGCTTTAGCCATGCTATAGTGGGGTCTGTCCACCACTTTGGTCCAAACTGAAATATCTCAGATATTAGATGAATGATAGTAGTTAGATCTTAGAAAGGATGCACCTTCCCTGTATTTTGGTTGTGGTTCAGTGATAAGTTACAGATAAATACCCAAAGGTATAAAAGGTAGCACACACAGATTTTCAGGAAAAAGTTAATTACACCAATTATTTTTTGTTTCGGCCTCATGACATGTTTTTCTGTGTTCAGTAGAGTGTCATCAGTCCACGCAGCAGAATCCTTCAGTTATGCAGTGTTTGGCTCCCTCTAGAGGTCATTACAGAAAGCATCCACAGCAGTTTATCACATATTCTACATGACACTTTGAAGAAACATTACTTGTGATGGTGCTGTGTGATTCTCTGTGCAATCTCTGTCAGGCTAAAAAGTGTTTCAGTAACAAAGAGACATTTATTGAAAGTTCAACAGACTCTAAAAGCGGATGATGATCCAGTGAAGACTCTGAGCAAACTGGTTTCATGAAGTAGAGATTTTATTCATCATTCACAGAAACCATTAGTATAATCAATATAGAATGTGATTTCATGTGGAATAACAGAATATATAGCAATCACTAAAATCACTAAACTATTTAAAAAAAAAACATAAACTGATCAAAATGTTTTTACATGGCCTGTGTCTATTTGATATAATCACCCCAAGCATAAAGAAACCAAACTAACAATCAAATCAAAATACTTTAGACATCACCTCCAACACAGCACAATATTTAATTTCTGTACAAACTAATTACCATTAGAAAACATGTTTGACTACTTTGTATGTATTTATTATATATTATACAGCATATATATCAGTGATGTGTTTTCTGAGACTTGACCCAAAATCAGAAAAACAACCTTAAAAACATTGAACTCACACAAAGAGTTTGTACATTGTTTGTGTGTTTTTTGTACAACACGATCTGGCTTTGTAATATAGGGGGAGGGAGGGAGCTGTTTTGCTCTCCATTAAACAGCAGGGGGCGTCCTCACTCCGTTTAAAAGCAGTGCACTAAGCTGTGTCCCAGTTGTATCAAAATCAGATAGTTTTTTAAGTAATAGTAATAATGAATAATAGTAATAGTTTATTAATCCCCTGGAGGGAATTTTACAGAATTACACAAGTCAATTTAAAATTGATTATATGTCAATTTCCTAATTGCATTAATGTCCCACTTACAGAAACTGTTTTTTAGGGGGTGTTTGTGACATTTAGACATTTGTATGAACAGTATAGACCTTACTTTCTACACAGCTGTTTGCTCACACTCATTATTGTTTACTTATTCGTTTCTTTACCAGCTGCTGTTAGTTTACCAACCAAGTACCCCAGTGCTGCTCTGGTTCCTTTATCTTCATCCACTCGTCTTTTCATCTCTTCCAGTTTCTGGACCTTCTCTGTGTCTCCTTTCTCCTTCATCTTCTCAATCAGGAAGTCCAAGTGGACAAGAGTGGACAGTGAATCAGCATTCAGGGCGATCTGCTCCAGTTTGACAACATGCTGGAAGGACTCTTCCAACCACTGATCTTTATCTTTCTGAAGTTCTTCTGTTTTCTTTTCCATATTTTCCAAAAGGCTTTTTGTCTCCTTACAGTCTGATTTACTCTTTTCATATATCTCTTTCACATCTTCTAAGGTCTTCAGAGCTTTTTTTGTACTGTTCACATAGATTTCCTTTTTTTTCACATGAGCTGATACAGGACACTTCTTCGTACATGAAGTGCAGCGGCCATCTTTCATGACTTCACACTGTCCTGCGTACCAGGCAAGTGTACATGGATAGTGACAGTTCTCTTCACAGACGTTACAGGACACAGCTCCTCCGTAATTTAACCAAATTCCCCACCACTTCCTCGCACTGAAAGGTTCTTTAACTTTGCAGACCTCATCAACTTCTACAGTGAACTTCTCATTGTTCTTCATCTCTTGTTCATTTTTCTTCAGAGCTTCCTCAGTCTGTTGGATTTCTTTCTGTTTTAGTTCAATAAACTCAACTCTCTCTTTCAGGTTTTGGATGCAGGCTGTCAGTCTGATTCGTTCATTCAGAACATCCACAGTTGTCTCCAGCTTTTGAGGTTCAGTTTTTTCCAGAAAGTCTGTGAACTGTCTCAGTCCTTTTGTTGTTTTTTGATCTGCATGTTGCAGGTCTTCTGTGTCCTCTGTTCTGTCTCTATGCTGACAGTTATTGAACTGAAAGTGAACAGGCTGATTCTTTCCATCTGTGGCAAACTTAATGTTTGCATCCTCGAGGGCTTTCAGAGCATTTTTATATGTTGTTCCATCTGAGTGAGTGATGAGGGCAACAATGTTGTTCTCCATATCTTTTCCAAACAGAGACATCACTGAATCAAAGATGTACCTCAGTCGGTCACTGAGTCGATTCTCAGTCGCTTTCAGCACCAGACCCACTGCATTGATCTCATGGACTCCGTCCTCTGAGCGGAACAAGTCGAATAATCTCTGACTGATGATGACCTCTCGTTCAATCCCTGTTGTATCTCCGTATCCAGGAGTATCGATGATGGTCAGAGAGTAGGGCAGAGTTTTATCTTCAAAACCAAAGATCTGATAAACGATCACATCTGATGTCTGACTCTCTGACTGACTTCTCTTCTCGTCCTCTACGATCTGAAACCAGACATTGTCCTCCCACTCCACTCCCATGGTGTAGTTGACCAGAGCGTTGATCAGAGTAGATTTTCCTGTTCCTGTTTCACCAACAAGTAAAATAGTTTTGTTGGTCTTGTTCACATCTTTTTCACCAAGAGTCATTCTTGTTAGAGTTCTAATCTTCTCTTTCTTTGGTGTCAGCTGGTAGACAGTGGGAGATCCTGAATGGATCAGAATTTTGCAGGTGATGTTCTCATATTTGGATGAGGTGTTCCTGTAGAAAAGAAGAAAAGTAGAAATGTGAGCTCAAACAATACACAGCATGCACAAACTATTCTTCTATTCTTCTAAATGTCTGATTCTTAATGAACAAAAGGTGCTATTTTAATCGTTTATGATGATCAACCTGACACTCATGTTGGAAATTGTTGCATCAGGTTGTGAAATGTGATTCAGCAGCATTTGCAAGGTAATGTCTTTTAAGAATCAAACACTGAAACAATGTTGTTGTAGACTGGTCAGTATTACTCACATTGCCATTGTAACAGCTTCACAGGAGCTTGAGGATGGAGCAGTTTATTGGTTCTCTGGAAGAAAGATAGTCAAGTCAGTAACCTCCCCCTCCCTGTCAACTGTATAGCTTTTATTAGATTGGACAGAGTTTTTTTCTTTTATTAAGTGAAATGATAAAAGAGTGAAGAAACAATAAAACACTGTCCTTCAGTCTTTGCCCACCTAACCTTCTGTAAGTCCTGGTGTGACCAGAACTTTAAAGTTAGTGAGCGCACAGTGACTGTTTGTTTGCACTCTTTGCATTTTGCCTCAACACATGGTTGTCTGACTGACTGACTTAAACTGAATCTACCAATTAAAGAAAATAGGAAGGTGCTTTGCCTGTGTCTTAGTGTGTCATTACATAGAAAATGGGAAACAGCTAGCCTAACGCTGTACAAAGGCAACAAAATCCAAGTTCTAGTACCTCTAATTGTTGATCACATGACATTCACATACATTTCTATTTAAATAGATTTACATTTTTAAAAGACAAACATTGCAAACTGTTATTAATAAATAAACAACACATGATGCCTCTATATCCCTCCTTCCAGCCACATTCAAACACATTCATTGTTATTCTCGTCCTGTTCACCAGATGGCCTCTGAGTTCTTCTTCTGTCCCACTCACCTACTTGCCCTATAGCCCCAGTCACCTGACATCCCCCACCCACCTGCGCATCTCTTTCCACTCTTCCTCATTCACCCTGCCGTTTTTAAAGTGGTAATCCACCCTAAAATGTGATATTTGAGCTAAATCATATGACAGACTACAATGAAACTCATCAGGGCTGGTCTTAAAATTGACATTCATATCAAATCTGCATTTTGTGGGTTGAAAATGTCTCAACATGAACTTTACTGTTTTAAATCACCCTGAAATCTGAATCCCAATATTGAGCTCTGTCTACTACTACTACTACTACTGACATCTCGCTGTTTTTGCTACACTACTGTGGTCAGTCTGTCAGTCACTCTGGTCATGGCTGAGGCCATGCCCCCCTACAGTCACTGTGCTTTGCAGGTCCCTGATGCATTTTTTAAATTTGCTGAGAGGGAAGGAGCTACCAGAACTGAAGGGTGGAAATACACTTTAACTGCCTTTTCCACTCATTCCTTGCCAGATTGTCCAAGTTGTTTTATTGGTTTCATACCTTACTTTTTAGCCTCTGCTATCTGCTACCCTGTATCCTTCACGTTTCTAATACATTTTCCCCACTCAGCGACACACCCGCTGAGGAACCAACTCTGATAATTAGCAGCTCCATAGTCAGAAACGTGAAGTTAGTGAAGCCAGCGGCCATAGTTAAATATATCCCTGGGGCCAGAGCGGGCGACATTGAATCAAATTTAAAACTGCTGGCTAAAGATAAACGTAAAAACAGTAAGATTGTTATTCACGTCGGCGGTAACGACACCCGTTTACACCAATCGGAGGTCACTAAGATTAATGTGGAGTCGGTCTGTAATTATGCTAAGACAATGTCGGACTCCGTAGTTTTCTCTGGACCCCTGCCCAATGTGACCAGTGATGACATGTATAGCCGCATGTCGTCATTCCACCGCTGGCTGTCGAGGTGGTGTCCAGCAAACGATGTGGGCTTCATTGATAACTGGAAGCCTTTTTGGGGGAAAACCTGGTCTGATTAGGAGAGACGGCATCCATCCCACTTTGGATGGAGCGGCTCTCTTATAAAGAAATATGGCGAAGTTTATTTCTAAAACCTGACAGTCCAGAGTTAGGACCAGGAAGCAGAGCTGCTGTCTTACACACTTCTCTGCACTTTCTTTAGAACAGTCACCCACCCAAAACCCCATAGAGACTGTGTCTGTCCCCCGACCACCTAAATTATTTAAAGAAATAAAAACAAGAGGAGTTCAACATAAAAATCTAATAAAAATTAAAACCAACTCCTCAGTAGCACAAAATAAGAGAATGAAATGTGGGCTGTTAAATATCAGGTCTCTGTCCTCTAAAGCTGTTTTAGTGAATGAATTAATATCAGATTATGATATTGATTTACTTTGTCTTACTGAGACCTGGTTGTCCCACGAGGAGTATGTTAGCCTAAATGAATCCACCCCCCAGTCATATTAATACTCACATTCCTCGAGGCACAGGCCGAGGAGGTGGAGTAGCAGCTATATATGATTCGAGCGTTTTAATGGACCCTAAACCTAAACTAAATTATAATTCATTTGAAAGCCTTGTTCTTAGTCTTTCTCACCCAAACTGGAAAACACTGCAGCCAGTTCTATTTGTTATAGTGTACCGCGCTCCGGGACCATACTCTGATTTTATATCTGAATTTTCAGAGTTTCTATCAAGTTTAGTCCTTAAATCAGATAAAGTAATTATTGTAGGTGATTTTAATATTCATGTGAATGTTAACAATGACAGCCTTAGTAATGCATTTATATCATTAATAGACTCAATTGGCTTCTGTCAGAGTGTAAATAAACCAACTCATTGTTTTAATCACACTCTTGACCTTGTTCTATCATATGGCATTGATATTGAACATTTAATAGTCTTCCCACATAATCCTTTCCTATCTGACCATTATTTAATAACTTTTGAATTCATACTATTAGATTATAAGCCATTAGGCAAAACTTCCTACAGCAGATGTCTATCTGACAGTGCTGTAGCTAAATTTAAGGAGGAGATTCCTTCAGTGTTTAATTCAATGCCATGTCTGAATTTAACAGAGTCCTATAACGACTTTAGTCCCCAATAAGTCCATTAAAACACTCCAATTAATTCAGAACGCTGCAGCACGAGTACTGACAGGAACTAGAAAAAGAGATCACATCTCTCCTGTACTAGCTTCTCTGCATTGGCTCCCTGTAAAATGTAGAATTGAATTTAAAATCCTCCTCCTCACCTATAAAGCTCTTCATGGTCAGGCCCTTCATATCTTAAAGAGCTCATAGTACCCTATTACCCCACTAGAACACTACGTTCTCTGAATGCTGGGCTACTTGTGGTTCCTATAGTCTCTAAAAGTAGAACAGGAGCCAGAGCCTTCAGTTACCAAGCTCCTCTCCTGTGGAACCAGCTTCCAGTTGTGGTTCGGGAGGCAGACACCCTCACCACATTCAAGAGTAGGCTTAAGACATTCCTCTTTGATAAAGCTTATAGTTAGGGCTGGATCAGGTGAGTCCTGAACCATCCCTTAGTTATGCTGCTATAGGCCTAGACTATTGGGGGATTTCCCATGGTGCACTGAGCTCCTCCCATCCTCTCTCTTTATGCACTCATTCATGTCCCATTAATGCATGTTACTAACTCCACTTCTTCCCCCGGAGTTCTTGTGCTTTCTCGTCTCGCAGGTTCTCATGGATCCTGGTGGAGCCTCCTGCCATGGTCCTGCTTGACTGCCATTGCCAATACTGTTGTTGCTGTGAACCTGTCTGTCTGTCTGCCTCTCGCTCTCTCTCTCTTGCCTCTCTCTCTCTCTCTCTCTGCCTCTCTCTCTCTTTCTCTCTGTCACTCTCTCTCTCTCTCTCACCCCAACTGGTCGAGACAGACGACCACCCACGTGGAGCCGGAGGATCTGTCCTAGGTTTCTGCCTTTTAACAGGCAGTGTTTCCTTGCCCTTGTCGCCAAGGTCTTGCTCATGGTGGTACTGTTGGGTCTCTGTAACTAATGTTAAAGAGTTCGGTCTAGACCTGCTCTATTTGAAGTGTCCTGAGATAACTTCTGTTATGAATTGGCGCTATACAAATAAAATTGAATTGAATTGAATTGAATTGAATTGAATTATCCTGAAACCTCTCATGTGGAAACTTGTAGCTGTACCTGAACCAAACCAGAATCTGTATCTGCCAGCCTGGTTACACTGTTTCCCTCCCCATTCATATCTACGTGTGGATTCTGTTCTGCCAGTAAGCTCATGTAATATTATTTTTGTTATTAAATTCCTGAACTTTTCCTTTCTGCTCTGAGTCCTATTCCTTGTTGCCTCACACTCACCAGCCCAGACACTTTAATGTTTTTAATGTATTTGTATGTATGTCTTTTACTGCGAGTGGTAAAACTTGAAATTGAAAAATGTTGTGGAACATTATACAATCAGTGATATGCTCACATTGTATTTCTGTTCTCAAAGGGTCATTTGTGGCTGCCCCTTTAGTGCATCTATCTGTCTTGTCCAGTTGAGACAAACATCTATCTGGAAGGAAGAAGATAATCTAAAAGCTGAAAGTTGAATGAATCATATGAATGTAAAGTAGCTTGTTCCGTTATTATGCCAAATACATTTTCACATATATTTATATCTGCTGTTAACTCCTGAGCTTGTAATTTCAAAGTATTTCATTGTTCTTTTTCAAAGTTTTCTTACCTGTTGATGTCTTCAGAAAGCTCTCTGATGCAGAGGAGGCAGAAAGAGCAGATTTTATATCAGCTGAGAGGGTGGAGGCTCTGTGGTCACATGATTTCACAGAAACACTCTCAGAGACAGAAAGCTGATACCATACACTGCAGTCAATGCTGACACAATATATGTATATGTATATGTACATGTATATATATACACACGTGTGTATGTAATATATATACAATATGTATGTATTTATGTTCTTTTATTTACTTGAAATTATTTCTTGCTTTGCTGCTATTTATTTATTAATCTGTACTTATTTGCTGATGTAATACCTGAATTTAACCTCAGGGGGTCGATAAAGACTGAGCCTTTTCTCATCCTATTCTTAATCACATGAAATTACGAGAACTCTCCTCCCTTACTTCATTTATTTTACTGGTTTTGAAGTTACACTTTCTCTGAAATCACCTGACAACAAAATCCCAAAAAGCACCTTTGAACAACCATAGAATTCAAAGTGCTTTACATGAGTCATAAATATATAGAAGAAACAAGAAATATACCTTAGTGCTTTGTAAACATTTTAAAATCAATCCTTTGACACACAAAGAGCTAGTGTAAAGATCTGAGTGATGGACTGATGTGGTCTCTCCTGGTCTAAAGGAGGAATCTGAATTGAGTGCAACTGTCTGATCTGAGATCTGCATTAAAGTAGTCAAGCCTACTGGAGATAAAAATGTTTCATCTTATTGCATTTAATTGATAGTTACAAGTAAAGAGTGACAGAAAAGGTGGGCGAGAGAGGGGATGACACACTGCAAAGGCAAGGAGCCACCCAGATGCCCCAGTCCTTTAATTCTTGATAAATTTTTTAAGGTGACAATTGACTGATGTTATTTTCTCAATGTGGATGTTAAAATTGAGGTCAGACTCCATTATTCTAGTTTACTAATCTTTAAAATTAGGTATTGTAGGTGAGCACTGACTTTTAATCTTTCCTTTTTGGATTCAAACACAATTATTTCTATTTTTGTTTTTGTTTGACTGGAAGAACATTTTGCATATCCATTATTTATCTGTTTAATGCACATAGTGCTTGTATAGGACAACAGTAACCTTGTGATGTTGTGACAAAAATCTATGTTGTCTACATCAGGGAATCAGGGAGCATGTACATATTGAAAAGAAGAGGAGCCTTTCATAACTCAATGTCATTTTCATATTTCTTTTGTTCATTTTTCAAAATTTTTAAGGAGTACGGTGTAGACTTTCTCTATTTAAAAAGTGTCATGAAATAACTTCTGTTGTGATTTGGTGTTATACAAATAAAACTGAATTCAAATGAACTCTCAGATTTGTGTGGATTCAAACCAGATTAGTTCTGTGTCAAAAAGCTTTTCCAGTCTGTATAGTAAAATGTTGTGGTGTCAGATGCACCACTGATAAATCTAACAATACCAAGATTTTAACTTTTCTACTGTCTGTGTTTAAGAATCTCTGTCAGACTGGCTTCCCAGTCAGAATCAACCAAATATGTTTTATTGACAAAGAGAAACAGAATTGTATTGAATAATGTTCAATAGACACAAAAAGCTGCTGATGACCGAGTGAAGACTGTCCAAACAAACGGATTTCATGAAGCAGAGATTTAATTCATGATTGAACGAAAACTGCATTAATCAGGTTATGATTTAACATGAGAAAACAGAATATATTGCAAAAATAAAAATATGGCTTCTTAAAAACTATGGTACAATATAAACTGATCAAAATGTTTCCACATACCCTGTGTTATCTGAAATATTTATTAGTCACTCGAGCATAAAGACACATTAAGAAATTACAGTACAGTACATTAGATTTAACCTCCAGCAAAACAGAATATGTCTACAGTTCTGTAATATCTTCTGGACAAACTGATTAAAACGAGAAAAAAACATAATGTTTAATTACTTTATATGTATATATTATATGTATATTTGTCATGTATGTCAGGGATGTGTTAACTGATATTTGTGTCAACATCAGAGTAAATCAGCTGTACTGACTGAAAATTACATGAAAAATAAAACATTAAACCCACAAAAAGAAACTAAAGAAAGATGACTTTGTAATTAGTTTGTGATATATAGGGTAGGGAGGGAGCTGGTCACATGGCAGAGAAACCTGTGTTCTCTAAGAGAACCTACTTGGAGTTACTCTTTCAGTTACAGATGTATGATAGGCCCTTGATTATCTGAATGGAATGAATGGTAGTTATTCCATCAACATCACACTTCAAAGAATCTACTTCTTCTTTGCTTCTTCACCAGCTGCTGATTGTTTCTACCGCAGTGCTGCTCTGGTTCCTTCATCCACTCGTCTTTTCATCTCTTCCAGTTTCTGGACCTTCTCTGTGTCTCCTTTCTCCTTCATCTTCTCAATCAGGAAGTCCAAGTGGACAAGAGTGGACAGTGAATCAGTATTCAGGGCGATCTGCTCCAGTCTGACAACATACTGGAAGGACTCTTCCAACCACTGATCTTTATCTTTCTGAAGTTCTTCTGTTTCCTTTTTTAGATCTCTTCCTCTTTCTCTTTCTGCCTTGTTCTTTTCATTCTTCTCTTTCACATCTTCTGAGGTCTCCTGAACTTTTCTTGTCTTGTTCACATAGATCCACTTTTCTTTCACATGATCTGATACAGGACACTTCCTGGTACATGAAGTGCAGTGGCCCCATTTCATGACCTCACAGTGTCCTGGTTTCCAGGCCATTGTACATCCAGGATAGTGACAGTTCTCTTCACAGACTGTACAGCAGACAGCTGCTTCATAAAACACCAACCACCACATCCCACCATCAATAGGTTCTTTATCTTTGTAGACCTCATCAACTTCTACAGTGAACTTCTCATTGTTCTTCATCTCTTGTTCATATTTCTTCAGAGCTTCCTCAGTCTGTTGGATTTCTTTCTGTTTTAGTTCAATCAACTCAACTCTCTCTTTTCAGGTTTTGGATGCAGGCTGTCAGTCTGATTCGTTCAGTCAGAACCTCCACAGTTGTCTCCAGCTTTTGAGGATCAGTTTTTTCCAGAAAGTCTGTGAACTGTCTCAGTCCTTTTGTTGTTTTTTTATCTGCATGTTGCAGGTCTTCTGTGTCCTCTGTTCTGTCTCTATGCTGACAGTTATTGAACTGAAAGTGAACAGGCTGATTCTTTTCATCTATGGCAAACTTAATGTTTGCATCCTCGAGGGCTTTCAGAACATTTTTAGGTGTTCTTCCATCTGAGTGAGTGATGAGGGCAACAATGTTCTTCTCCACATCTTTTCCAAACAGAGACATCACTGAATCAAAGATGTACCTCAGTCGGTCACTCACTCGATTCTCAGTCGCTTTCAGCACCAGACCCACTGCATTGATCTCATGGACTCCGTCCTCTGAGCGGAACAAGTCAAATAATCTGTGACTGATGTCATCTTGTTCAATCCCTCTGGTATCTCCGTATCCAGGAATATTGATGATGGTCAGAGAGTAGGGCAGAGTTTTATCTTCAAAACCAAAGATCTGATAAACGATCACATCTGATGTCTGACTCTCTGACTGACTTCTCTTCTCCTCCTCTACGATCTGAAACCAGACATTGTCCTCCCACTTCACTCCCATGGTGTAGTTGACCAGAGCGTTGATCAGAGTAGATTTTCCTGCTCCTGATTCACCAACAAGTAGAATGGTTCTGTTTGTCTTGTTCAGATTTTTTTTCACCAAGAGTCATTCTTGTTAGAGTTCCAATTTTCTCTTTCTTTGGTTTCAGCTGGTAAACAGCGGGAGATCCTGAATGGATCAGAACTTTGCAGATGATGTTCTCATATGTGAACGAGGTGTTCCTGTAGAAAAGTAAAAACATGAGCTCAAACCTTACTTTGGGGAGATACATATCTCCTATGTCCCTAGGTACCTAGACTACATTTTCTTTCTATTAATCTTTAGTCTCTTCTTATCCCACAGAAAGTCCAATTTGAGCGAAAAGGCTGCCCATGGTTTCGGACTAGAGCCATTCATATATGTAAGATGTATAAACCCTCACGTATTATCATCTCAAGACCTGTTTTAATTAAAGCTATACCTGTGTTCTTTAACATATCATCTTTAAAAACCAACAGGTGTGGTTCTTAATGAATAAGAGGTCATATCTCTTATACGATCATATTAATCTGACATGCTCGTCAGAAATTGTTGCATCAGGTAGTAAAATGTGATTCAGCAGTGTTTGCATTGTAATCCATTTTAAGAATAAAACAATAAACACTGAAACACTCTGTGTCTCACTGTTGTAGAATCGTTAGTATTACTTACATAGTCATGGTAATGGCTTCACAGGAGCTTGAGGACGGAGCTGCTTACTGATTATCTGGATAAAAGAAAAACAAGTCAGTCAAACAACAGGACAACACAGGACAACAATGGGGTTTGACATAAACACGTGACATAAAAACGGATTTAACGTATTACTACTTTTTTTTAGAAAACACCTTTAAAAAGCTGGTTGACCTTACGAGCAGAGCAGTGGTGGGTGTAACATACAGGAGAAGAGACTGATCAAGCAGAGAAACATCCCACCTGTAAGACCATACCTGTGTTTTATAGGGACAGTTTTAAGAATCCACTCATCACTACACTTGCATTGGAATGACCTGAAACTCCTCCACAATGTTGCTGGTGCTGGTGTGACTAGGATTTAAAGTCGGGGGAGGCTCACAGTGATGATGAATCTGTGATGATGTTGATGATGCTGTGTTTAGCTGTTCGCCTCGAAAAAACTAGTCTTTCAAGGCAGCTGGACTTGCAAGATCACCTGTGTCCAACTATAGTGGTTCAGAACAGTAAGTTTCCTGTGAGGAACTACTGGCAGCTTTGGTATGAGCTACAGGCATGGTTTAACACTAGGTGTGCGTCAACAATGGTAGCTGTTAAAGAGGTTAGCATAGATACCGCTAGCATCAGTTATATCAAAAGTATTTCTTCACTGAAAGAAAAAAATAATAACACAGTTATTGCCACAACTATGGCAGCTTGGTGGAAAATCAATAAGATCAGTATTTACATATTCTTACCATGTAACCTCATTTGAAACAACCCAGACTTTATAATCAAGAGTGCCTTCTGTTTTAGTTTGAAAAATCAAAGGAATTACCCATCTAGAACATCTGGTTAAAAGCAGTACCATGTTAACACACATGAACTAATGCAAAAATTTTATTTCACTCAAAATGCTAGCTAGAAGTCAGTTAGCTGAGCTTAGCATAAACACTGGATAGCTGGGCTGATCCAAAAGTAACAAAATCAATCCTACAAACACTTAACAAAACATAAATCACTCACTCATTAATTTTTTCAATGATTTATAGTGGACTGAAATAACTAAACAGTCACTGAAACACAGATTTGGTCCTTTAAAGTCGAGGAAATGAAGAGAAAACTATTCTTAAGAAGATAAAGGATAGGAATCATATACATGTAAGATGTTCAGATATTTTGTCAAATAAATGCATTTATATCTACAACATTTAAAGTTATTTCATTGTTCTTTTTCAAGGTGTTCTTACCTGTTGTTAGTTTCACAAAGCTCTCTGATGCCGAGGAGGCAGAAAGACCAGAGATCAGTGTCAGCAGAGAGGGTGGAGGCTCTGTGGTCACATGGTTTCACAGAAACAGTCTCAGAGAAAGAAAGCTGATTCTCTCATAAGACTGCTACAAGTACAATGTGGCTTCAATGTGAATTAATCAATGATTTCATTATATTGGAACCTGTAACCCCTTCTAAAGGGAAGATAATTGAAATTTAAAAAATGGTATTAGAGTAAAGAAATATTATATAATGTCAGCATTAGTGCACAGCATATAGTTTATATTGTTAATACATATGGCCGACCCACCTTGCAGCTGAAGTTAGTCAAATACACACATTTTTATTCACCTGTAATTACAACTGTATTTATTTGCTGATACGATACCTGAATTTCCACTTTGGGTGATCAGTAAAGGAGAATCTTATCTCATCCTGTTAGAAACATATGAAACTATAAGAACTCTATATACTTCACCTGTTTTACTGGTTTGCAGTCACACAGTTCCTGTGAAATCACATGACAACAAATTTCCCAGGTGAAAAGTGCTTGATACAGACAGGCAATGATCTATTAAAGAAAAACAAGACAATGTCAAAAGACAGTATGGAAAGAAACACATTAATAGGGGTTATAAAAGTAAAACTAAACAGCAGAATAAAAATTACAATGAATTAATATCTTAAGTTTAATTGAATAAAATGCAGTGTAAACAAAAGTATTAAGTTCTGATTCTGAATTCTGAAAGAACAGCCCGTTTACACCTGGTATTAACATCCATGCTGTGTTTGTATGTTTGTTTATTAGGATCCCCATTAGCCTCTGTATAATAGTCTCTATTCTTCCTGGGGTCCACACAGTTTATGGTGACAATACTATATAAATATACACACTCACATTATTCATCTCAATGCACTGACACAACACATCGTAATGCACATATGCTGTAAATAATACAATAACAATGAACACACTCTATAGACAAACACAAAAAAACAAAAACAACAAAAATACTGACTCCGATTGAATAAATAAACAAAAACATCCTCATGATCTAACTGATAAGTATCAACATTTCACCAGATTGCCAACCTGCTCACACTGAAGAGTACTTATTAATTACTTAATTTCCCTTTTAAATAGTGCTTTTTTAGCATTTTTGTTAAAACCATAGATATTATTTTAGTGAATAATATGATTGGAAACTCTCTCAACTCCACTCCACTCCACTCTAGCATTGCTCTGTATATTACTGTACACTGAAATGATGTGGTAAAACAACCTCAGGCCGCACTACTTGTAAAATAAGAGTGTCTATCCGTGCCAAAGGTAAGTCTTTTGTAAAACATAAATAAAAATGTTCACTTCAAACCAAGAGAGACATTCATAGACAAGAAAGAGCTACACTGATATTATTTAATATTCTGATATTACTTGGACCAAACACACTAACTGGGTGTGCTCAGCCCTGCTTTACCAGGAGCAGATAACCATATAAAAAAACTGTGATGAGTTAATCACAAGCTAGACGTTGAATTCAGAGCTTTGTGCTCAGAGGAATGATTACATACATTTACCTTATTATTTGACACTTTAGCCTCATTTAAGGAGAAACATAATCTAACACTGTAAAATCAAATCTAATCGCAAAGTCTGATGAATAAATTTTCACCACAACATACATTTTTGTAAGAAAAGCTGGACATCTACAGTTTTGGTATACTAGTGGTTTTGAATGTAATTATTTTTGTAAACTTTTAGTATAGAATCAAAAATGTGGCCAAAAATATGCTAAAATGATTAAAAAGTTGAAAAAATAAACACACAGAGCACCATTTCTTTAGGGTTACAGCGGTTTAGAGCAGCACTAAACTGTAGGTGCTGATAATAAACAACTTTAATTAAGGCCTGAGCAGTGGCCATTTGGGTATAACTTTCCATTCATGTACCAAAGCAAAAACTTTCCATTCAAAAGTAATGTCTGGTGGCAAGCTCACGCAGGAATGTTAGGTATCTGAGGGTGCAAACAAGGATGTGCGTGACCCATCTGACAACAACATACCAAAAACAGAAACAATTCACTCCTATCTTATCAACTGTGACAGAGGGTGTTAAACCAGTTGTTCCTCAAGCCATCATCACTTTATGTTTTTTTATGTTCAAATAAAACAACTTATTTTATAAATGACAAAGTTGATTTAGTAGTCTGGCATTATTGTATAATGTCAGCATTAGTGCACAC